AGGTGGTGCATCCTAATTTAGATAAGCATTTTTCTGGTTTTGGCATCCAATCTTTTAATGTCATTCAACTTCCATTTAATAATCTTGAAGCTGTATGTTACTACAGGTATAGCTAAGGTGTTGATAGCTTTCATTTTATTGGTCCCATTTAGTTCACATTCTAGTATCAAACGCATTTTTCTATAATATTCTTTTCGGATCTTTTTCTTCATAATTGCATATTGTTTGCTTCGAAAAAGGAGTAAGTACGGTTTGTCAGGACAGATTTGATCAACTTTTACGTGGTGGACAGACATGTTATTGGCCTATAACATATATAAGATATGCAGTAACTTCAGTGATCCATTCCGAGATTTCATTTGAATTATTTACAAACATTGATAGAGTTTTTGCAAGGATTTTATGGATTGATAAGAGATGATAGAGCCAGAAATTGGGCACCTTGTCATTTCCTGGAGATTTCCATTTTAGCTTATCATTAGAGCTTGCCTGACATTATTTGTGGTTATATTTTCCTACTCTTGCAAAGGTTTATCCAGCATTCGTTCTTCTTCGCGTAGGATCCATTCTACATTTGGGTTATATTCCTTTGGGCTGCTCCAAATATTCTCCCAAAACCTCTGCACATTGTCAATAGATGGTGGCTTTTCGACATGTATAGGTGCTTTTCCAATATCCCTGTAAAATTTCTTAAGGTCCATTTGGAATATTTTATTTTGGCAGTAGAACCTACAACGTTTTTCGTATCTAGTTCTCTGTGCCTTTAACTGAAGTTTTTGTTTCAGTATTTCTTTGATTGGTGGAATTTCTATTACGGATTTAATTTTATATTTCCGCTTGATCTTCTTGCACTTGCGTGTTGAGATATTTGCGTTTCTAATGAGCTCATCTAATACAAAAAGCTCACACCTGATTTCATTTATTTCTCGCGTAAGTTTTGTCTTCCAAGTTGGCTCTCGATTTCTATTAATTTTTTTCATTGTCTTGACCACAAGCTTCCCAGTAGCTGCTAAAGCAGTTGCATATATGACGTTGTTAACTTCTAAAAAACTCCAAGTGAAAGTTGTTTTTTAATTCAAAACAAACAAAATATCTTCCCAGTTGTCTATTGAGAATGCTCCAAAACCTTTTGTGCCCATGTTGTGTACAAAAATTCGCAGAAAAAAATGCCTGAGAATGCGCCTATAAAGTCACACATGTCCCCAACGATGCCAGAAACCCCAAAGACGGTAGTCATATTTGGTTGAGATTTAACAAGAGGCAAAAGTTTTATTTTACTATGTGACGGTAACTTAAAACTTGACGATTGGTCAATCGGTCGGGTCTAGAGACAAACTGCCTAAAATTGATGTCTGGTATAATTGATGGTATTTTGTTCCACATATGTTGTACACTTCCGACCGAAGCCCAATGCCCTGAAGTGGTATTTCATTTCAGCCGGTTCTTATCTTGGCTTCTTATGGTCAGGAATCTGAGCCGGCATAATTTTGGCGGCAGTGTCCAACTCGAAATCGTGCCGATGTTAGATGGAAAAAATATCCCCTCTCCTCCTTTCCCCATTCTGCTGCCATTTAATCTCAATGACCCACCAAGCACTTAAATGACCCATGCTGTGCTTACACAACATTCAGCCGACAGAGGCCCTACAGATGACGGCAGAATGGTCTTTGATTGACAGTTCGTAACAATCTGTACAAGTTTTCCTTTTCCTCAAATTTTAGTCTCGTTAGCATTTACATTCCAAATTATGTAAAACATTAAGCTATTTTAAACAAATTCAAATCTTATAAACCAGTAAAATCCATCCTCCCTGTAATCTCTTGTTTCCTGTTTAGGATCGGGTTTTCAGTTTCTTCAAAAGTCTATTTCAACTCTATATTTCTAAAATTCCATTCACTAATTATTTTTTCCTCTCCAAATAGGAGTAGATGGGATCGCCTATCGCCCGGTTCACAACTCTCCCTGGCATTTTGAACGGGGGTAGAAGTTTATCCCTTGTTCCCTGTTTAGGACTGGGTTTCCTGATCCTTCTAACTCTTCTTCTAACTTCTAACTACTTGAACTCTATGCTTCTAACTTCTCCGAATAAACTCTGATATTTTTTTCTAAATAATAGGAGACAGGTTCACCTATCGTCAAGTTCACACCCTCCTCGGTCTTTTGAACAGGAGTAGAGGTTTTTAGGTACTAACCAGGCTCGACGTTGTTTAACTTCGGTAATCGTATTGGGGAAACAGTGTTTCAATGTGTTGCGACCGTAAGGCTGATATCAAAATCAAGCATGTACACAAATTAAACTATCTGGGAAGTGCTTTTAAAGTCAATGAAAAATCTGGCACCGTAATCTAAACGTACCTCGGAATAGCGAAAGATGCTTTCCAAAAACTAAACAAAGTATTAAGAAACAGGATGATTTCGTTAGAAACAAAGAAAAGAGTGCTGACGTATAATGTATCATCAATCTTCCTATACGCAGTGAATGATGGACAGTTTCCTCGGTGATACAAGGGATAGGAAGTTGTAGAGAGCCATGATTGCGCATGTAGATAATTCAAAATGAAGGAATCGATGAGAAATTAAAAATAGAAAGATTTAAAATCATAAAATACTAATGCAGAGAGGAAAATCTAACCTGAAAAAATAATTAAAGTGAGAATATTTAAAGGGTCTACAATGGCTACAACGAGTCACAAGAATAAAGAGAAGTTTAAACAGGCTACTAAAATTGTTATTCTATAATTTCACGCTTAACAGTCACGACAGAGAAATGCATTTTCGTCTTCATGTATTATCTTCTCTTTCTCTTTTATTTATTTATTTAACACACACACACACACACACACATATATATATATATATATATATATATATATATGTCTGTGTGTGTGTTTAGGAAATGTGTGCGTAATTGAACTTTTATTTATCGACAATGTTGGCGGATCAGACTCAGTTCCGTTTCAGGCTTTCCGGGTGAAAACCCGACCCTCTGTAACAATAAGGTTAGTGTTGCTTCTATTGTGTCCAGGACCTTTGATAAAGGAACAAGCGTACAAAACAGGTAAATAAATAAAGATGGCAAGAGACCGTCTGATCAGTTGATAAATTCCTATTTCTTTTATCTAGATCACATAATGGTGGAGGAAGGTATGGGTAAGTTAACGATTACTCAAGGAGCACAAGCACACACACGCACGAACATATATATGTGTGTGTGTGTGTGCGCGCGCGCGCGTGTGTGTGTGTGTGTGTATGTGTGTGTAGGAATCGCGGGTGAAAAGAGCGAGAGAATGACATACAGAGAGAGAGGTGATATTTTTTGTTTAGTTGTTAAATTTGTATTTCTTTTCTCTGGATTGCATATATATATATATATATATATATATATATATATATATATATATATATATATATATATATATATATATATGATGCGATAAAGAGAAAATAGGAAACGTTTATCGACTGATAAATTCGTATTTCTTTTATCTGGATTACACACACACATATATACATATATATACAGGGTGCGATGGGTAAATAGTAACCATTTTATATTTTTTAATTTTGTGCATGCGCGTTGTTGTTTTTTTTTTTTTGGGTTGATTTTGTTTTGTTTTGTTTTTTTTTTTTTTGGGGGTTTTTGGGGGGTTTGGGTTTTTTTTTGGTTTTTGTTTTTGTTTTATTTTGTCGACTGCACAGTATAGTAGGGTCAGTTGGGCACCGGCTGTTAGAAAAAAGCGCCATGACGCAATTTGTCAGAAATCTGGAAACGGCAAGCTGTACTGTTTGGTATTCGAGCAAGAAACTCCAATACAAATATTTCAGAGTATTTGTCCATCTGAAAGGCAGTGCAGAGGATTCGGAAAGAGTTGGATGAGTCTAATGATGATTACGAAGGTACGGCAACTCGGAAAACTCACTCTGATCGTTCTGATAATTTGTTGGTGAAGAACTCAGAATGAACACAGAGTGCCTTGATGAAATAATGCTGCCCTGGGTGAGGGTGACTGCTGGAAGACCCTATGTCAGGCAACAGGATTCTGCACCATGCCACACAAACAGGAGAACTAAATCATGACTCTCAGACAATTTCTGCAACCATATCACCCCTTACATCTGGCCACCTAACTCCCCAGGCTGCAACCCCTTTGATTATTATATGTGGAGCGCAGTTGCGCTAGAGACCTACAAAACTCCTTGTAACACCAAACTAAAGATAAGGATTATAGCAGCATTCAATAAATTAAATAAGGAGACCGCCCAGAAAAGTTGCAAGAGATTCCGAAGTCGTCTGGGGGCCGTGGAGACAATGGCGATTTTATTGAATAAATTTAATTTTTAGTATTTCAAGATATTTTTGTGTAATCTTGGTAAATCTATCTTTTAAAATGAAATGTCAGTTTTATTTTCATTTTTGCGTCATTTAGACGACAATTTATCCATTTCACCCTATACACACACACAGATATATGTGTGTGTGTGTGTGTGTGTGTGTGTGTGTGTGTGTGTGTGTAAGATATGATCAAAATAATATAGGAAACATCGTTCTATCTTGTTTGACTTTTATTAAAGCTCCATCTTTTCATATTTAAAATTGAAACATTTTAGATTGATAAACATTTCCTATTTGTTCTCTATCCTATCATTCTATCGGTTTCCGATATATATATATATATATATATATATATATATATATATATAGAGAGAGAGAGAGAGAGAGAGAGAGAGGAGAGGAGAGAGCGTTTGTTTAGTTGATAAGGTCGCATATCTTATATTTGTATCACATAATGCCGGTGGGAATGTACAAGCGAGTTAAAGATTACTAAAAGGAATACATACATAGACACACGCACGCACCCACCGCAAGCACACTCAAACACGCACACACACTCACACACACATACGCATCTACGGATAGATGTGCTACCGATTCAAAAATAAGGAAATGTGGTTGAAAAGGAGGACATACATTCGGACATTTCAACTTGTCATGGTTGACTATGGTGGAAACATATCATTTTCGTCAGAGGTATTTCTCTCTCTCTCTCTCTCTCTCTCTCTCTCTCTCTCTCTCTCTCTCTCTCTCTCTGTGTGTGTGTGTGGTGGGGTGTTAAAAACACAGAGGTAACAGAGATACAGTTCTGCAGAAGAATGTTGAGAATACCATGGATGGAGCATGTAAGCAACGGGGAAGTTTTAAGAAAACCGGAAACAAAAAAAAAAGTCGCCTCTAGAACCAGGGACAACTGAAATTTCTTTGACACAGAAAAAAGAAAGAAAGCTTTGGAAAATTGACATTCACAGGACATATCGAAGGCAAAAGAGACAGGAGAATAATAGTGAGTAACCTACCTAACAAGTTTGTGTAAATTGATATCAGAACAGGGGAGTGGAAAGGATAATGAAAAGACAAATATTGCTAAGAGCCTCCAAAGATAGGAAGTTGTGAAAAGACATGATCGCTCACTACCTGAAGCAGAGAAAAGATTCTAAGATTGTAAAATGCTAGACTCTGTATACACAGCGAAAGAGTAACAACAATAAAAATGGATTAAATTCCTCAATCTTTTTGTCTGTTTTCATTTATTCCTTTCTTTCATTTTATTTTATTATTATTATTATTATTATTATTATTATTATTATTTAATTAATTTGTTTATTTTCTTTCTTTGTAACATTTTATCGCCCGCATTCTCCTAAGATTTTATGTTTTTCTCAACCAATTATATTGTCCAAAATGATAACGATTTTTTTTTTCAATCAATTCGTTTTTATCTCCCTTTACAATACAAGCCATGTCATTTGGGTTCGAAAATTCACTCCTGCACGTTTATTTATTTTTATTATAGACAAGGGATTTACTTTATGCGCGTAATGAAGAGATAAAATTATGATTGTCAACTGTAGTGTCGATGCTAGCTAATCGCTGCTTAGCCAGACGGAAGAAAGATGGTGTTCTTTGGCCGGACGAGTTGTTTAAGACAATTAACATAAATAAGAAACAAAACTACCAAGTTCTCTTTTCGTCTTTTGTTTATTTATTTTTCAATATTCAAGGATTTTATTGAGTTGTCAAAAAGCTGTTTCTCTCTATTCTCTACAGTAAAGTGTACTTTGTCTCATCATTCTGAATTTCATATTCTTTTTTTTTTATTTCTTTTCAGAAATTTTCTTTCTTTTCTCCATTTTTTTCTCTTCGTTTTTTTCGACTTTCTTCCATTTTAACAGCAGTATTTTATTCACATTTCCAAAAGTATATGATCTTTCTGTCTTTCTCTTCTCAATTTTTTTTTATCTGTTCCCTTCATTTTTTTTTTCTATTTCCTTCCATTTTTAACAGCATATGTTCTTTCGGCTTTTCTTCTTTTTTTTTTCTTTCTTTTACTTCTTTCTTTTTTTCTTTTCCAACAGATTTCTTATATCTTTTCCTTTTACTTTTTTCTTTCATTTCTTCTCTCTTTTCAAAAATGTTCTTTCTTTTTTCTTCCTTTTCTCTTTCTTCGTTTACCTTTATACTTTCTGTTTTCTACTTTCTTCCTTTTTTAGGGGCAACTTTTTCCCTTTTTCCTTTCTTTATTCTTTCCTTTTTTCATTCATTTTCATTCCTTTTTCCTCTTACTTTCTGTTGTTTTTTTTTGTTTTTGTTTTTTTCTTGTTTTTTTACTTTCCAACTTATTTCTGTTCTTCTTACTTTTTCTTTCATTTTTTTGGTCTTTTTAGTAATTTTTCTTAAACTCTTTCTTTTCCAAAACCCATTCTTCATTGTTTTCGATTTGTGTCCAACTTTCATTATATTGATTCAATCATTTAATTTTTCATCCCACTCATTTTGTCTTTCCTTTTTTTATTTTTTCCCAATCAGTCTACATTCCTTCATTTCTCGTTCTTCTTCTATTCATATTCTCTTATCATTTTCACCATTTCTAGCTCTTTTCTTCCTTCATTTGTTTTTTTTTTCTAATCCTCCATATTGCTTTTAGTACTTTCTTTTTTTTCTTCTTTTCTTTCTTTCTTTCTTTCTTTCTTTCTTTCTTTCTTTCTTCACATGTTTCTCCAGTTTTTCTTTCTCCCATTCTCTATTTCTTTTTATTTTCTGCCTACTCTCTATTTCTCTATTATCTTTTCTTTCATCCTCCTCTTCTTTTTCCTTTACATTATTTCTAAAACCATTTCGATTCATCTCTCGCCCTTACTTTTTGTGTCTTTTTCTCTTCTTTGTTCTCATTCTTCTCGTCTTCATCTTCGTCTCCATCTCTTTTTGTTTGGTAAAAACAAAATATTTCAGTGTTTTCTTCTTTTCTTTTCACTTCTCACTCATCGTTTTTCTTATTGACTTTCTTCTGTCCAGGTCGCTTTTTCATTTTAATTCTTTTCTTTAATCCGATCGTCATCCAATGATCCATTATTGTTGTTGTTGTTGTTGTTATTATTATTATTATTATTATTATTGCTGTTGTTGTTGTTGTTGTTGTTGTTCTTCTTCTTCTTCTTCTTCTTCTTCTTCTTCTTCTTCTTCTTCTTCTTCTTCTTCTTTTTCGCATTTCTCCAATCAATTTCATTCAGTAGCGTCAGTTACATGAGCATCCCCTCCCATCATCCAGTACATCTCCAGTCTCTGACCTGAAGAACGTATAAAATTTCTTTCATTGGTCATGCTTGACAGCGATACAAAAAAAATAAAACAGACAATAATGGTAGGGGTTGCGAATGTTCTTTTTTTATTGTTCTTATTTTCCAAAACGAAGTCTGAAAGAGAGACGACATAATGCAAGTAAAATCTTGATTAACTATAAACTGGGTCGAAGAAAAGAGTAGAAAAAAAACGTTTGGAAAAAATCGGTTATCCGTTCGAATCTATTGCTTGGAACTTCTATTCTTCCCGATCCCTGATAATATTTACAAAGTTTAGTTTGACACAAGGCCAACCTCTCCAGTAAATACCTGCCTCTTCCTACTATTCCTTACTTTTACAAGAACCACATCAGGCAGAAAATGGAGTATTGATGTCATATATTAGGCAGACGCTACCCAGTCTTTACTGACCAATCTTGATAGCCCCAAATCATCTCCGCGTCTTTGTGGGTAATGAATTATATTCCCCCTACAACCCCTTTTCCAACAGACGAAACGTCGCACGCATTTCGCTTCTCCGTCGCTATTTTCATGGAAAGTGTTCAAACGAACTTAGTCCCTCTAGTTATAACATTTACATCTAAGTCCGGCCATGTCACGTACATTATAGCAAACCACTCACATTCCCTTTGTATTTCATTGGTGAGATAAAGTTCCACTCGAACAGCTTCTTCCCACGAACGTTGTTTTGTTGAACCGACTTCCAAGCTTCCCCGATCACTACAATCTTAACCTGCTCAAGTTATCTTCCCCACATATCCCCTTACTCTGTAACTGTCTACCTCGAGTGGCACTTGTGCTTTGTACAGAGTGAACATTATTGTAAGAAAAATGAAAGAAAATAAGAAGCAATAATATTTTATCGCGTTATTCTTCCAAATCGAAGACATTTAAAATCTTGGCTTTTCGCTGAATTCGTACGCGATGCAATGTCACCAATATGAAATGCGCCATTATCACAGCTACGAGGCACACACGACTATGCCTTCGACTCGGTATTATCCAAGCTTTGTTTAGTAAGGCATTCAGTTTAATGAGGGCAAATAAAGGTAGGAGAATCTGATGCCCGAAATCCTCTAGTAATGAACAAGGTCGACAACTAATGACACTAATAAGTAAATATCAGTCAGTTATATGCCATACACGCTTAGGCGATCATGTATCTTCCGATATATGACTGACGAGGCAGATTTCTTTCCCGCAGTAGGTTGCCATTTCTTTCTGCGGTAGCTTTTCCAACGCTATAGAATCCAGTCTGTTCTGCTATTTACCCATAGCTGAAAAGGATTCATACCTTTCCCAAGGGTATTAGAAAATAAGTAAATATAACTGATTCGACTGGAATTCGAACTCGGCTCTCCGATTCCTCAGCCCGAGCCGCTATCCATTGCACCTCCGTGTAAATATAATGATCTTGAAATTGAAACTGAAATTATGTGGCGCCTTAAAACTAATGTCAGAACTTAGGAACCTTGAGAACGATCAAATTAAAGACTAGAATATTAATAAAATCTCCGATAGCCACTGTTTACAAGAAATATTAAAAATGCTGATCTGCTCAGGAAACTATTACCAATGTAAGATAAAACATTAACATTGTACGTGTTAAGTATGACTTAACAGAATTTGTGCAGACAAGATGCATATATCTATGAGTTTTGTTTAATTTGGGTTTTGGGAAATGACTCAGTAGAGGAAGAGGAGGAGAAGGGGGAGGATGGGAGGAGGAGGAGGAGACGGGGAGGAGAAGGAAGAAGAAGAAAAAGAAGATTATAGCCACAGACTAGGCATTCTATTATAATTACGCGTTAGTTAGTTCCTTAGTTAGTTCGTACGACCGTTACTCCCATCCATTGTGACCGCGTGAAAATAAGGAAATGACATATCAGAGACGCTACTAGTTTTCAGTAAGAAAGAAAGAAAGAAAGAAAGAAAGAAAGAAAGAAAAAGGTGTTTAACGTCTCCTACCAATACCTTATGAATAACAGACTATTCCGTTTTTATTGTGTGAAAAGACAAAAAGACATATCAAAGACGTTGTTTTCATTAAGAAATAAATAAAGAACGAAAGAATAAAGAAAGAAGCGTTTAACGTTTCCTGCCAACCCCTCATGAATAATGGACTAATTCGTTTTGAAAGACGGAAAAGACATCAAGAACGCTACTTATTTTCAGAAAAAAAGAAAGAAGTGTTTAACGTCTCCTGCCAATCGCTTATGAATAATGGATTATTTCGTTTTTATTGTGTGGAAAGACGGAAAAGACATATCAAAGACGCTACTTATTTTCAGAAAGAAAAAAAGAAAGAAAGAAAGAAAGAATAGTTTAACGTCTCCTGCCAATCCCTCATGAATAATGGATTATTCCGTTTTGATTGTATAGAAAAACAGAAAGGACATATCAAAGACGCTACTTATTTTCAGAAGAAAGAAAGAAAGAAGTTTTTGACGTCTCCTGCCAATCCCTCATGAATAATGGACTATTCCATTTGTATTGTGTGGAAAGACGGAAAAGACACATCAAATACGCTACGTGTTTTAAGAAAGAAAGAAAGAAAGAAAGAAGTGGTTAATGTCTCCCGTGAAATCCTCATGAATAATGGTCTATTCCGTTTTGATTGTGTAGAAAAATAGAAAAGACATAACAAAGACACTATTTGTTTTCAGTATGAAAGAAAGAAAAAAGAAAGAAGGAAAGATAGAAGTTGAATGGAAATGTTGTCAATTTCAAATCTTTCATGATTGTAATTGCAAGATTCTGTTAAAGTTCTTACGCTCAAATACTTAACGATATGATAGGGGAACTTCTACATATGTTTTATTGTCGTAGAATTCTCCATGATCTTATTCAATCATTAACTTAAGGATTAAGATTTATCCGAAAATTCAAATTGAAAAACCTTGCCTTCTCTTTGTTAGTTTCTCAGTTAGTTCGCACGACCGTTACGCTTTGCCATTACTATTCTATTCAGGTTATGACACGGGGTAAAAATATATTTTGGCAATATGATTTTATATACTGCGCCGTATCATGGAAACGCATCTGTATATATTTCAACACGAGCAAGAAAAGTACTTTTAACTTTGCAAGATTTTCCTGTTTCATGCATCAACAAATTTTAGAGCCATGAAGAAAGGACTTATAACGATTTCTTCTCCAAGGTATGTACAGATGTTCATATTTAAATGCATTTTAGATTGAAAATAAGTAACATTTGACATAATCGACTAATGTGGTATTTCATTGCTATTTTATAGGTTGCATTACATTTTTTGATTCCTCACTTCAGGTGTATCAAATACCTAAGTGTAAAAATGTTATTTACTTATTATTATACATAAATCATTTCTAGAGGCATTAAATGCTTAAGAAATAAGTAGGATCACAACTATCACTGCCAAGGGAATATATATATACAGGGTGTATCAAAAATACTTATATCAAATATATATGAAGAAATATAGTTTTAAGGTGTGCTATATTTATGGGATAAAGTGCTCAATATCAGAGATAGAACGTTCGCAAATACAAATATAAAAGTGAACATTGAAGTCAACACTCAGAGGCGACAGGCTGGACGCAATCGCCAAGCCTGACGATTGCGTCCAATATGAAACAGCCTCTCTCTCTCTGCCTGCCTGCCTGCCTCTCTCTCTCTCTCTCTATATATATATATATATATATAAAAAAAAAAAATAAAAATAAAAAAATAAAAAATTTTTACCTCTTACATCGAACCCTCTTCAGTGGTTCAGTTACAATATTACTAGGATTATATACCCACGGATTTATTTTACCTTTACTATATATATGTGTGTGTGTATAATCCTCCACATAGAAGCATTTTTCGCTGTATCAGCTCATCTGAGTGGCTAGACATCCGATTGCTTCAAGCCGGGATCGAAACCCGACCGATTTGGCATCAGTCGGATATCCTACCCCTAAGCTATCGGCGCACGGCAGAATAAATTCAAACGTATTATATACGGATGTATGTAAAGCCTTTGTTTTTGCGTTATTAAGTTTTAAAAAGTTTACGATAGATGGCGCTGTGTTGCCATGTAGACTAGGTTACCGTTGTCATTCGTGTATATTTGTGGCTAGTCTCTCTTCAGCGTTTAACGTGTGTAGTAGTGAATTAACTGAGAAGTGTTCCGTTTAACAATGCAGGATATTCATCTCGTGAACACGCATATATGTTTTTATATACGGCCGCGCGAATGGTAATGGACGCGAGGCTGCACGGCTGTATAGAAATTGCGTTTCCAGAGCGAAGGCAGCCAAGTCATCCAACCTTTGTTGCTTGATTTGGTGTGAGGAACCCACACTTAAATTTTGTAAAAGTATTTTTGATAAACCCTGTATATATACTGTTAATATCCAGGATTGTATCACGCTAATCCTGCTGTCAAAAATCAAAGAGATATATGAAAGAATATAATTGTAATTATGCTATAAAGTTATCAGTTGTAATTTTTACATTCCATGAGTTAGGAAAGCTCAAAACTATCAATTTCAATGAAAAACAGTAAAACCATGACTACTGCTAGTATTAATTAAAGACTTATAAACAAGAAACACAGTCGAACGACATAGTAGAGCTATCAGTTCAAAATAAATCTATTAAAGTATATGGCAAAATAAGTAATTATTAAGAATTTGAAATTGAAACTGAAAAAATGCCCCGAAAAAAAGAGCAGACAAGAAAATTGACAAGATCTCTGGTAGACTGTTTACAAAATATTTTTAAAAAATTCTCTGTGAAAAGACTCCAATTATGTACATGTTCACTACACTGAATCCATCATAAAAATCCAGGATGTAGATTTAGTAAATACCAAACATTTCAAACACCTCAGTGTATGAATCCGTTATAACAAATTTAATATAGGAGAAAAGGAAATTGAACATATAATAGTTCATTCTGAACTGCGATATATCGTTTAAAAGTTAATGCTCCAAAACCTGCATTTATTACCTTAAATCTTTAAAAATAGCCCGGTATGATGATGATGATGATGATGATCGTAGATGTTCGAAATGTGTGCCTGAATATTTAACACAAAGTTGTAAGCGCGGTAACCAGGAGGAGGCAGTAGCTTTGCGGATCGTGTCTAGAGGAATTTCAATCCAAGTTTCAGTTACGTTCCACTTCAATGAATCAATATCGACGACGGTTTTCCAAGTGAGTTAGGAGTATACCCCAGATACAGTAATCCATAACATTCAGATCTGGGCTTTTAGAAGGCCACTGAGATGAACCAATTAGAGTTGGTGTATTTTCTCGAAGAATAAATTTGCCACTTTTTTTTTACTGGGTACCCTCTAGATCAGATATACTGATTAAAGACTGCAAACAAAAGATGCTTTCTCAAAATATGGAAGTGCCATCAGATAAAAATATATCTGTGATAGTATATGACAAAAATAAATAAATTTAAGCAAAATATTGTTTCCTTTTCTACAACTTATCAACCTTTTGCATGTTATTTAAAGCCAGAAAATATTTGTTTCAGATTGCAAAAAATTTTGAGATAGTAATGATTGAATTATACAAGTCTTAATAATTAATCCATAGCTGGGTGAGAAGAGGTCGATTCCTACAATTCCCAAGGATATTTGCGCGTAAGTTAATATAACGAACCCAACGGAAATTGGAACTCGGCTCTCCGATTAACGATTCCAAGACATTATCCCTTATACCACCCGCACATCCAAGCTTACAGAGGCTATTATTCCCAAGCGGTTGCCCATCTCGGTATTGATCAGGCTCGACATTGCTTAACTTCGATGATCGGAAAGGGGCCGGAGTTTCAATGTGATTTAGCCGTAAACTTAAGGGAAATAAAAACAGCCTATCTCTCCTCAAACTCTACATTTGAAATCACTGGCTTTCAAATCTCAACCTCTGGTACTGGTTAGAAATCAACACCCACAAGACAGACTCTAATTATTATTATTATTAGTAGTAGTAGTAGTGGTGGTGGTGGTGGTGGTGGTTTTGGTGGTGGTAGTAGTAGTAGTAATATCGAATGAGTGAGAGAGCAGCACACAAACAAAGTTATGCTGGGGTATGAGTATCAGAAACTTAATATATCAATCATGAAACTCTGTCTATTAAGTGTATACTAAGTACATCTATAGCAGCCAAAAATGCGCGATATAGTGAGATGCTCTGACAAATGCAACGATTAACCTTGCAGGTGGGGCCCAGTTAGAAATATCCTCAGCACAGTTAACCTAGTCTGCTCAGGCGGTCTGCAAGTGAGGGTGTTCCCAAATACCAAGATATGGCTCCTAAGTCCCCTTGGCTTCCCTATCCTTCAAATTTACAAACAATCCTCTCGACACATGGTTGTAGCGTCTCCCACCAATCGTCCTGCTCCACAGGGCATTAGAACCTAGGGGATATGTTCTATTGGTTATGGTCAGCCAACAGACAAGTTAATCTGTTATACTAGCCGCGATTATTTACTGTAGCCTGTCTTAATTCAGCAAGGCAAAACAATATATTAACACCACCAATCATTTAAGAAAATCATTTCTGCTCTATATTATTATTATTATTATTATTATTATTATTATTATTATTATTATTATTATTTCCTTCGATTTCTGTTTTATACTAATTTCCTTCCGGGTCCCAAAAAGAGACCTAAGGTCAAAAATGGCATAATGGCATTTTCACTGAACATTTGTACAAAAATTAAAATAAAACAACTTAAGATCAGATACATTTTACAATGTAAAAAGCTCTTCGTAAACTGTGAGCTGTACTTGTGGGGGCAACTTTCTTTAAGGCATGGGCTACTTTTTAATGAGCCTATCAGAATCTTTTCCAGTCAAATTGAGTGCTGGAATTATTCCTGTCTTCATGTGCCCCATTTTTTAGATTCCCACTTTAAGATCTTTGTATATTGATATTTTTGACGTGTATGGGAACAGTCATGTAAATAAGAAAGTGAATTCTATTTCGTTTGTCTTTGATCACAATGTCTGGCAGATTATTTTTGATTGATTTTGTTTGTGTGTATTGTAAATAACCATAAAATTATTACAGATCTTATGTTTGTAACCGGGTTTTGCTGGTGTTCATACCAATTTCTTGCAGTTTCCTTCCTATAAAAGTTGCAGATATTCCAATGCAGATATTGGCCCACTCTGTCATGACGGGTTTTATATTTTGTTTCTGGATATTCATTAAAGAAACTCCATTTTGGACTCACACAATTTTTTAATATGTTGGTTTAGAAATTTCTAGTAAGCAAGCATTGACCCTGTGCAACCGGAATAAAATCTTCGGTTTCAGCTTTTATCCCTGCACTTATGTGTATGGGGTTTGTTAACATCATCTTCTTTGACACGGGCAGTGTATTGGCCACCATGAGGTTTATTTTGCATTTGTGCTTGCTTTTGCTTTCTTTTTTAGGTTCTTCGCCGCTGCAGTAGGTGTATTATAGTTTATTTGCTATTCTTCATCCACTTGAAATTCCCTTTTGATTTTTTAGCTTAAAACTGAAAAAAGTTTCTTATTTCTTTTATGTTGTTTTTTTTGTTTTTTTTATTTTTTTATTATTATTATTATTATTATTATTATTATTATTATTAAAGTCCTACAATTTATTTATTAAAGACATTTTTATGTTTAACGTTCTTTTTTATAGATACAAGTATTTAAGTAAATGCTCTGTTTATAATCCTGTCAAAGGACGAATATTTTCTATGAAAATTTCTCGGACATTCAGGCCGGTAAATGTTATTTAATACTGTTTATTATAAACAGAGCATTTACTTAAATACTTGTATCTATAAAAAAGAACGTTAACCATAAAAATGTCTTTAATAAATATATATATATATATATATATATATATATATACAAAAATTAGTACTGAAATTTGTTAGACTAACAAAGAAAATTCTGGTTGATCATTTGGTTACATTCTTGGGAAATGGTCGTATTTGTTAATTAAATTATAAACTTGAAAATAAACAATGAAATAGAAGGCAGTGTTTGTTAAGTTCATGCCTTTTCCATGTCAATTCGTTATATTTCGTCCTTATACCCTTCATCTTAATTTTTCTATCACCTTCCATTCTTCCATTCTTATCACACACTTCCCATTCAATTTTATCATTTTAACTGTGACTTTAATTTGAGTGGCTCTCGAGCCTGGTATTGGGTAGAATTTGGCATTAGAGAAATACCAGTACATGTCAGAGGTTATTACGACAGACCAACAGGGGATTCTACTGTTGCCGTTGTTATTGTTTTGAGAAATGTCCTGTGACAAATTTCTTATCACATCAGTATGTGGATAAATACATCCTTTATCCAATTTCAAACATCACAGACAGGGACACTCATCTCACTAAGCACGGCAAAGAATCGGTGAGTTCATTTTTATATATTTATTTATTAGTGGCTACCAAATTAGCTTTTGTACGCCTACATATCCTGACATAATTTGCATGTGCTTACATAGGTCTCCAGCTGCCAAAAATCGTTGACGGTGAATGATAGACAATGTGGCAATTACTGCCAAACACTGATGTGACTATTTTTATTTATTTATTTTTTTTTTTTTTTTTTGTTGTTGTGTTTTTTTGTCTGTCTTTTTTTATCAGCTGACTCGAGCATTTCCAGTAGATCATACATAATTCTCGGGTCATCATCAACTGTCGCTTGTTAAAACGTCATCACCAACCCAACTGGCCTTTCTTCTCTTCGGCTATACCCCATTTCACCTCAGACATGAGACTTTTATCAACAAAACAATCCTTATTCATTCATTCGTTCCTGTCTTTTCAGAGTTTTATTCATAACATTATCCCCACTATATAACACACCCTCACTCTTTATTTTATCTTCCTTTTCTTCTTTTTACCTCTCTATTTTCTCTCCCACTCTCTATCTATCTATCTATCTATCTATCTATCTATCTTTTTTATTTTTCTCTCATCGCTCTTCTTTTCCGTTTCTTTCTTTTCTTTTTTTTCAGCTTTTTCTCTATAGTTTTCTTTTTCATTTTCATTTTTTTTTCGTTTTCTTCACTCGTCTCTCCCTTTTTTTCCCATGCACCCCTCACTCTTCTTCTCTTTCTTACTTTTTTCTTGAACTTTTTCTCGTCACCTTTTGTCTCTTTCCCCTCTCACTCATCTCATTTTAAGGGCTGATAAGCCGTAAAAACGAATCAATAAATCAATCATCTTATTTCTAAATTTCTCTTTCTTCCTATCTATCTATCTCTCTCTCTCTCTCTCTCTCTCTATCTATCTATCTATCTATCTATCTATCTCACACACACACACACACACACACAAACACACACACACACACACACACACACTTCTTTCTCGTTCCTCTCTTCAATTTTCTCCTTCCCGTCTCTCCTCTTTTTTCGTTTCTTTGTTTTCTTCTTTTCCTCTTTCAACTTTTTCTTCTCTCTTCCACTCCTCTCTCATCATCTTTCTTCATTTCTCATTCTTTTTGGTTCCCCTCTTCGATTTCTCTTTTCATTTCTCTTTTTACCTCCCTTTTTTGTCCCTTTTCTTGCGGCCTCTTCTCTCTCTTTTCTTCTCTTTTCTTGTCTCTCACTCTTTTCTTCCATTCTGCGTCTTTTTCTTCTATTCATCAATCTCTTTCTCTCTCTCCCTCACACACACGTACACACACACACACTACTTTCTTACATTACCATACCTTCTCTCTTTATTATCTCTTCCTCTTTAATTTATATTCCCTTTTTTCTATTTTCTTTCTTTTCCCCATCGCTATACTCATCTTCTTTTTTTTCCTATATTCATTTCTCTTTTCTCTCCCTTGCCCAATCCTGTGGGCGTGCGGACGCATGCGCACGTGTGTTATATGATAAAATAGATTTTCAACTAAAATCAGACATTGACCACTGCCAATTAGAAACACTATACTTTTGTTTATTTGCATTTCATTAAACCGGTATCTCTTAAAAATAGATTGAATAATCGATACAACATTGTAAATGTCAAGAGTTCTGGTGTCAGTCAAAAGGGCGTTAGATGGAATCTATTATTATAAAATGGGACGGATTATCACCAATCTTTTCGTGTTTCATTAGTAAGGAAGAAGTTCCAATTCGATAGCTTTTTTCAGAGATGCTTCTTCGATCACTACAGTCTTAACCTATACAAGTCTACGGTTAATTGATAACTTTCCTTCGTGTCATCATGATCTAATATTCTTGCCTCCTCCTCTTGCGTTGACATAATCATTGGACCTCTACATTGAGTGGCTCTTGGATTTTGTATTTGGTCAACAATAAATTAAAACAAATCACGAGAAAATGTAAGCTAATTTTGAAGCTACTATTATCGTTGATCTAGAAAGGTTGTTTCAAACTTGATATCTCTATGATTTATGTTGTCGGTTTACAAGTGCTATTTCAACTGAAAGAATATATATATATATATATTAAAAAGAAGAGAAAAACCGCAAACGTTTTTAGTTGTAATGTGGATTTTTTTTTTAAATATTATGTTTTATTTTCCATAATATTTTACATGTATATATATACACATATATTGATAAAAGCAGGAGAACCACCCACAGGCACGCACACAAACCCCACACAACCTAGGAAGTATGTGTACAAACCCCACACATACTTCCTAGGTTGTGTGGAGTTTGTACACATACTTCCTAGGTTGTGTGGGGTTTGTGTGCGTGCTTGTGGGTGGTTCTCTTGCTTTTGTCAATATATATATATATATATATATACATGAAAAATATTGTGGAAAATAAAACAATATTTTTTTAAAAATCCACATTACAACCAAAAACGTTTGCGGTTTC